TATATATATATATATATATATATATATATATATATATATATACAGAATATAATGTATACATCTTAGGAAATGATGATGATGATGATGATGATGATTCATATTGCTTGGCCTATGCAATTAATGGGAATATTAATACATTATAATATATCATTTTAATGACATTTTGGTGTGCTCATTTTGTTTAATCTCATGTTATTGAGTCTGGGTCTTGAAGAAAAACTAAAGGAAGACCACTGTATTCACTGTATTCAATGAATCTTAGGGCAAAAGGGGCAATTACATCTGTTAACCAACAGGTGGTGCAATGCATCTGTTCTTACCCTTTAAATCTAGTGATGCATCAGACTACAGGGATTCAACGATTGCTCATTCATCACAGCTTTTTAAAGGGTAACTGCATCAGTTATAACTGCAGTCGCTGTTGCTGTTGGTCTTAACTGATATAAATAATATTTACGACATGTAAACAACACTGAACAATGCATGCAGCCTGCAGAGCCACAGAACAGAGTTTGGTGGTGTTCTAGAAATGCTCTGAGGGCACATTGATCTATTGGTTTGGGGATTGTTGTCTGCCCCGCATACCCGGTTCACAATCACATCTCTTTCTGTGCCTGTTTATTTATGTCTCTGTCTAGTCTGCTTCTCTACCTTTCATCATCAAACCTCATTGCTTTTTGCTGCTTTTTTCCTCACAATGTGCTCTGGTGGTCAGTGTGTTCTCTCTCGCTTCCTTCACCATAGGAGGAATCGGCACCCCCTGCGGGGAGCGGATAGACAGGCTCTGGGTCTCTGTATGAGGCAGCACTGACAGTTATTTGATGGATACTGCAGTACTTGTAATTTGGTCTATATAGAGGCAGTGAGCACTGCGGGCACATCAGCCCAGTATTCAACCTCTCCCCAAGGCACACAAAATCAGTGCTGTTATCCTAGCCTCACGTTTCACTCTTTACAACTCGCAATCAACAACATCATCAGGCTAAAACTTTGGAAGTCCGGGTAAGAATAGACTGCCAGTGACATGCTAGCCATGGAAAAGTTTAAAGTTAATATAATTTTTACTCATCCAAATTGTAACTTGAAACTAATGCAAGAAGAATTTTATTTATTTATTTTTAGCATATAGGACCCTTGGAGATGTCAAATATTATAAATCAGTGGTTCTCAACTGGTTTTGCTTCTGGAATCGGGAATACATGTTAAAATATTTATTTATTTATTGACCACTTCCGGACACATGCTTGGCATATGACAACATTTTTAATACATTTTAAGTATATATGGAACTATTTAGGTAAAAATGCTTGTAAACTGATTACTGACCACAAATTTGTGTGCTGTATGATTATGCTAATTAAAATAGAATATCATTCCTCCCACATCATCTGTAGTGAAAAAAACAGTTGTTAAATGAGACAGTTTGGCTAACTATATACTTCATATAATTCATTCAGAATGGAAATCTTAAAATGCTTAAAATCAATATAATTTGTTTATTTTTTGTGCCAAAGTTTGGGGTATATGTTCAGGCTATTTATTCATTTAATTTTATGTATTTGTTCAGATTAATCCTAGTTATTTACTATGTATTATAAGATGGTTATTTGCTTTTACACTATCGTCGTGCACAGCCCTATTAGAACCTGCACCTGTAACCCATTTTTAGGTCAATAGAAACTATTGTTTTTTATAAATGGCTTCATTGCAGAAGATAATTAGAGGCTTAAATGCATAAATGGCTCCTTTTTTTTACCAGTTGTCTAATTTGATCTGCTGAAGAGGGCAGACTCTTAAAATGTGCTTTTGTCTCCAAAGTTGTTTGAGCAACAAGTACCTCTTTTTTTTACCTGTCCAGCCCCTCTCTCTTTATTTCTCTCTCATTTGCTTCATGCATGCTCTTTTTTTTATTCTCCGTGCTGTATGTGCAGCTGAGCCGTGGCTCCTTTGAGCTTTGTACTACAGAGTGCTATCAATTATTTATCAGCATGCATAATTCACAGTACATCCCTGCTCTACACTGAGGAGGCCTTACAATCTCTCCCTCGCTCTTTCCAAAATCTCCTTCTCTGTCTCTTTTACTTACTCTTTCTTTTGCCCCTTTCTCCAAATCCTGGCCAATTCTCTTGCTTTCCATACTCTGTCAGGATCCATTTTTCTTTCTGTCCTCACCTGAATCACTCTTTTCAATCTCTCCCACCTTCCCATCCTCCTCTTCTTCAGTGTTCCATATGTATCTTGCCTTTTATTAAAGTCTGTCTTCTGCTTTCACTGTCACTCCACACATCAAGCATTTCCTCTTTCTTTCTTTGGCAACTCAGATTAATGAAATGTTGACTACCTTGTTGGTCTAGTAAGGATGACTGCTCTTCTGCTTCCATAGATCCCTACAGTCTAGAGGAAACATATGGGAGTTGGAGGAAGGAAGTAATTTAGGCTCATCTCGGCGGTTTTGTGTTTGGTTTAACAGTTGTTGCACTGCAGTGGTTTGTCAAAGGTTATTCACACCCTCACCCATAACATCTCATCAAGCCCCCAGTCCTATGTTCTGTTCCAAAACCTAGTTAGCTAGTAACCTAGTAAGCTGCCTTCATAGGCAGCATTTAAAGGGGTCATATGATGCTTTTTTAAAGATCATTATTTTGTGTATTTGGTGAAACAGAATGTGTTGACATGCTTTAATGTTAAAAAAACACATCATTTTTCAAATACTGTAC